TTCATAGAACCCCCTATTAAACTTAACTGTTGGTTTAATATGTTGTAGCTGCAAAGGTAAATTTAAATTCTTCTAATATCATTCCCTGCCATCTGAGCCAAAAATGATAAATTTACTTTCATCTGATTACACTACATTTTTCAATCTTCTATAGTCTAATTATGGTACTTTTTGACAAACATTTTTTAAGCAATTCTATATCTATTTAAGAGTAATAGTTTTTTTTATCTTTAGCTAACAGATCTTTCCTTTTTAATGAGCGCTGAAAGTTATTTGAAAATATATTAATGTTTTCATTAGAATTAAACTTATTTGGATTTAAATAATATTAGAACATTCATCTGACTTTATAAGTTTTGCAATATTTCTATTATAACGCTCTGTAAGAATTCTAAAGTGGTCTGGTTTTGGAATAATATCAATACTACTAGTTTTTTCTTTTTTTGTTTGATTCTTATTACAGAAGAATGACTAACATTTTTACAAAAAGCTACTAAACAACTTTAAATATCCTTCTTGAAGAAGGGTGATGATATGTTTCCTTTAATAATGTGGTAATGTAGTATCACCTTCATTATAAAGTAAGAAATTCTGTGGGAAAGTAATACAAAGTGATTATAAATTAGGTTTATTTATATTTATTAAAGCACATCTCACAAGCATCGGTTGGTCATTTTTTAATTATTTGCTATAAATATTATTTTACAAAAAAATACACAATTTAAAAATTTTGTAAAAAAGCTACAAATTAAATGCTAATCAAGTTTTATATTTATTAAAATAAAGTTACAGCTTTAAAGTTAGTTAAATTTTAAAATTAGACAATCACTTCAATTTGCAAAATTATGATTTAAAAAAATTAAACAGGGCGATGCAATAATTATAGAAGTCATTGTATGACTTATTAATAATGTCTTCATTTAATTCTTTCAATTTATTATATAAAAAGTTAGTGAAATAAAAGATAAACAAAATTAAAAATATATTATCTTAGAAATATATGTATAATTTATTTAATAGAATGATTAGTAAACTTATAATTTTATATATATATAAAGTATCAAATGACAGACACTTTTCAGTAGTTAAATTGATAAAATTTTAGAAATATTTTCAGTTGCATATGAATAATATGTAAAAATATATCTTACACAAATTATTTATTTTGTAATAAGATAGTTATTCCAAAATACTGCTAATTCATAATTTAAATAATATTGTTAATTAATAATGTTAAAAATATTTTTATTATATATGTATAAGTACTAATAATATTATTCAAAACCTATTTTAATGTGTAGCTTAAAATTTAGAAACTCTTTCGAAACTTTGATAAACTTAATTAAATTTAAAAAAATATTTTAGAAGATTAGGTAAAAATATTTATTATATATAATTTAATATCAAATATCTCAAAACTCAAATTTCCTAAAAATAGTTTAGGAAAGCATTTTTAATTAATAGCTTTTTTGAATAAAAAATTTGATTTAGATTTCATGTAACTTGACCTTACATTGCATTCTCAACATGATTATTACATCTGAATATTTCTTCTAATTATTACTTTTTACTGATAAGTATTTCTTAAATATTTATCATCTTTCTCATAATTTCATTCTGATAATTCTTATTTTTGTTTCTTTATTAATTCATTAGCATTTTCTAATTTATAGTTTATATACAAGTGAAATAACTTTATTTATTTTTACAACTTAGTTGTTTAACAATTAATCATTTTAAACAAAAGTATCCATTTTTATTTACGTTAAATATTTGTTTATTAAAAACAATTTTTTTTTTTTGGAATTCAAAATTCAATGTCATTACCTTGTGATTTTTACAAATGATCAACATGTTATATAACACTTAATATTAATTTAATATTTATTTTAGTTCTGCTATTTAACTTCTTACTTCTGTTTTATTACCAAATAATACTTTATTTTCTTATTGAACTTAGTTCTACTACTGCTTATGTTTTACTATCGAACTTCCTTCTGTTATTATAATGTAATGTATTATCTTTATGTTATACAAGCTCCATTTTATTATTCCTAACTATTGTAATCTTTATGTAACCTTCCTGTATATGTGTGTTACATCTTCAATTATTATTTTTAAATATTTTGTTTTTCTATAAGACCCCCCATTCAGTTCATTAATTATCTTACTTCTTGACCCTCTGTTCGGTACTTTAATTAACCTTTCTTTCTCGGTAACATTTTATCTGAAAAATTTCCTTCTGAAGTTTATCCTTCTTATGTAACCTTTTTTTTCGTGTTGTAATTTATCCAAATATTCTTCTTTCATTTAATAAAATAAAGAAAACTAAAATCAGGTGAGAATTTTTCGTCACATTTTATAATTACTTTATCATAACATTTTATTAATATCTATGTTATATATATTCATTGGTAAAAAAACAGCAACTCGATAATTATAAAAAATGAGTTTTGTATTTAGTCAATATTCCAAAGGAATGTAAATTGATGGTCGAAAGAGATAATGTTATCGAAAAGAGTTTCTTGAAACTATAGCCAGGTAAATGCATTTGATTTTCTTGTTTTTCCAACAGTCTTGCTAACCGAACTGCTGTATTTACAATTTTTTATATACAGCTATCAAATTATTACGGGTTGTTCTTTAAATGCTTAAAGTTATAAGTGAACAGAAAAGCAGAGGATTAATTTTGAAGGATGAGTAGAAGTATAAGGGATCTATCACTGATCTTTTGGTTTTTAAACGAATAGCTGAGGCTTTTTGTGAAAATTAAAAATTTCAGCGAAAAATCAAACATTTTATTGACTTTTACTCGTTGAAAAGAAATCGCAAATATAGTCTCCTACACATAAACTGGTCTCTAACCTTTGAATTTATCAAACTTGGCATTCCTACGGAAACTTCTTTTAAAGAATCCCGAGCGCACTGTAGTGTTTTTTTTTAATTTAATGGTAGATCTGATGATTTTAGTTTCCCAGGTCTAGTCTAGGTTTGTTTGCGATATAATACTTACGCATTCTCTGGAATACCATCTTCTTTAAGTTACTAGAATTTTCAGAAACAGAAGCGAGTTTCTTTCCGTGATAGCAAACGTAAATGTTTGGGAAAGCCTTAAGCTTTAATAGTCAATACAATTGTTATTTGATGGGAGGCATAAATGTATAGTTTCGTTCAAGAATGTAACTGCATTGAATCGTTTTGATTGTAGATGAATTGCAGGTAATATATTCGCAGGTGAGTCAATCAAATCCATCACTGGAGAAGTCGTTTGGGTTGTGTTCAAATAATATAACGTATTGTCACTTTTTCATCATACTGGCAAGCGATGTATATAAAATACATTTCATTCTTTTTTTAAAGGGTTGTAGTTAGTATTCTATCTCTATTTCTTCTTTTGTTTCAAGTGTATTCCGGATGGGAGAATATTATATTTTTTTTCGGCTTAAACATTTTCATATTTATTTTTTTGTTATCTCGCATGATGCAAGTGTACTCGCGATACGTGTATTTTCTGATAAGTTAACTTGAAATTGTTTTAAAAATTCATCCTTTCGCAGATGTTTAATAATTACTCCGGTATAGAATGTTTTCAATTCGGCATGATTATTTTTTAGGTAATCTCTTAATTGTTATAATTTGTCTTTTTGCTTCATATACATCGCTTTCATTGTAGAGTGCAAACATAATTTATTTATCAAATTATGACAATGTTCTGCTTAAATATTACGTTGAATTGTAAATCGACGTACACCAAACTCTGCATTTATAATGGACATGTTATATGCATCAAAGGTTCTCTTCACGGCTAAAGATATGAAACGAAGAATGGAAGGGTGCTCTAATATTTATCATTTTTTTCGTCGATTTTGCATTACCCTTTGTATAATCTTTCTAAACTGAATTATAAATTATTTTTTAATAATACCAGAGTAATTCTCTTTCAGATTATCACGAATTGCGTCATCATCAGTTGCTTTAGATTTATTTTGGAAAGGTCCCGGCTGAAATTTTAATTATGTGATTTTGTTTAATAACTTTTGAAGAATCTTCGTGACATTTTGTCAGTTGCTCTCAAAGACATTTTCCACCTAACCTTATTACTAATCACTTTTTCTGTTTTTCTCATCCAAGAAATCATCCAAGATCTCTTTCCTCTAAATATTTGACGTTAATTGAACTAGGTATACCAAAATCTACTCAGAAGTAATAACTTGAGATTTTTGTCGGATCTCCTTAATGTTATTGCTGATACAGACCATAGTAGTACTAACTCTGATTTATCCATACATTGATATTCTAGATAGAATTAAAACAGTCATAAATTATGCATATCGAGACATTTGTGTCAGAAATAAATTTTAGTATAAGACTGCTGAAATTTATGTAGGCCACCTTCCGTGATGCATAATGTCCCCAGAATCTGTTGTGTACGAGATAATATATTACATTAGTTTGCAAGTCTTAAAGCTTTGCACAAATAAATATTTATTCATACAATACATATCTTATTGCGTAAAATCTCGGCCAAGCTTTCATCATTGCATTTTTCAAACTACGAAACTTCGGTTTCTTTTAAACGAGTTCAAGCAAAACGCTTACAACAGCAGCTTGTGGTGGTCATAGTAAAAAAAATGCATCAAAGCGTTACTGCGCTTTTTTTTAAATCTCTGAGTGTTGCAATTAGAGATCATAATCATAAGATCGTCTGTTACGTAATATTAATTCACCTTTTTTAATAAATAACCTGAGAATCGGATAATCACAATCTAATGAGTAATGAATGATAACTGATAACTTACCTTTATTTTTTACTATGCTTATTAATTTTTTTTGAAGTATAACAATCATTCGTCATATAAACCACACCAATCAAGAGTCTATTGAGACTTTATACTCGCTATATTCAGAAAGGTATAAATATACCCTATACCCTCGAGCTTTCACAGAAAAAAAACTTCAAAATATTTCTACTAGAAAAGACAAAACAAAAACCTTACAAAATGTATAACGTTTACGGAAGAAACATCGCAAAAAAATACGCGCCAAGATACGCACAACAAAATAGATTATTTCATAACATGAATGGTAACGGTAAGTAACGTATTATTAAGAATAAAATTATTAATGTATTAACATACATATAATTAACCCACTGAAATCCGGAAATTCTTAAAGGAGTAAAAGGAAATATTAGTTTGAAAGTTACAACTCTTGGATTAGTTGGAGGGGGTGGGATTGGATTTATTCACATTATTAGAGGTGAAATTAAAGAAACGCTTAAACCTCTCGATCTAAAGATTGACATGATGGACAAAGTGAGCAATTACAAAGTTACATATTGATCTTTCTCTAATATAAGTACGAAATTACTAAGTTTAAACTTATCATTAATCTAGAGATTGGAAAGATTAGAAAATCAATTCCATAAATTTTCCGAAGATATAGGACATATAAAAGCATTCTTAACGAAATATATCGCTGACTCTTAGATTTATGATCTCGATTTTGACCTTGGATGGTTTAATATTCTTCTCTTAATTTGCTATTACTTAAAATCGTTAGATAAACATAATTATTTTCAAATTCTTAATAATGATTAAGCAAAATATGTTTTTAAATTTTATTTCATTGCATAATTATCTTTAGATAAAATTTCAAATTTTTTAATTAGTTGGAAATTTAATTATAATTGAAGCTATATAGTATTGCACATTTTTTATGAATCCAAATAAAACAACGGAAAAATTATTTTGAAGAACTTTATTAATTTTTCTATTTTTTTTTCATTTCGTTTCGATTTGGGCATACCACAAAAATTTCGCTTCACATGACTTTTAATAACTAAATATTGATAGGTTCAATTAAATTGAGTATTTTGCATGTCATGTTAACAAAAAAAACCTTTATTTAGAAATTTATTTTATTATTGTCGACCTAATCAAGTCAACCATCTTTCCATTTGGATAATTCCATTTTATATAAAGTAAAATTTTTTTACTAATTGATCTGAAATTTAATACTTCGTTTTTTACATTAACATTTATATTTAGATTGAGATTAGCTTAAAAAATTTTTGCTATGGGAGTTTTAAATTATTTTGGTAACATTGATAGGTATTAAATCAATGTAATTTATTCTAACCAATTTATCATCATACTTAAGCATTATGTAATAGATGATTCTATAATTATATGTTGTAAAGTGTAAACTTTTATATTCATCGAACTCTTATGGTCATTGGTTAATTAATTTTCATTATATATTTATATATTTATAAGCCTTCTCCAGCTACATAAGAAGAGATTTTGATGATGAAAATATGCAATCAATCATATATGGTTCGCCTCTAAAGTTTTTGATTATTGTTATTGGTAAAATTTAATATTTATCTTTATTAGAATTGAGACTGATTCTACTTATTATTTTATTTATATGGATCAACAGAGATCTCGTAGATATATAAGTGCCCAAGATGACCTATGCATGATTAACTCATAATCTTACTGCGTCAGGTCAATCTATAACAGTAGTATGGTGGAATTATATAAATTTGCCCAACTTTCGAACATTATTAAATTTCTTTATAAGTTGAGGTTTTAACTAACTGATATTTATATTTGACGTATTCATCTATGACAAAAAAAATATATTTATCAATTATTTATTTGTACATAACTACGATTTAGATGATGCTTATAATTAATCAGGAAATAATTATATACTGCCATTTGTTAAAGACAATCAAAATTACTACGATAAACAAAATTATAAAGTATTCGTGAAATATTATTCCAGAACCTTTTATAAAAATAGATTCTCGCATCGTTGCATAACCCCTTTAAAGTAAATTATTGCTTATCTTTAATTTTAATTTAACTTTTTAGGCGTGTCATATACTGCTCTGCTTATTGTAGAATCAAATATATGAAATTTTGTTGGAGAAAATCCATGCCTTATCGGAATATAATTTTATGGAATTTCATGATCAACCAAAAATTTAATTAAATTTTTCTCAACAGACAATGAAAGTTTAATTATTTTTTTCAACTGGAAAAGCCTAAGTTGTTTGCCACTTATTTAATAGAAGAATTAATTTTTTTTGATTTGGTCCCACCAACTGTTTAAATTTTCTCAACTTTGATAAATTTAAACCATATATATCAATTTACAATTTATTATTTTAATGAAAAAAAAAAATCTTTATTTGGCAAAAATTCTCACCGATCCCAGTTGATCCTTTTTTTAATTACACTAGTTAATTTATGGAAATTTTATTATTTGGGAAATATTTAAACCGAGGGCTGAACGGAAGACTTGGAAAATAATTATTCACTCACAAAAATGGTCCTAAAAATTAACATAGAAAAAACCTTAAAAGAATTTGAAACTAGAATTAAGGAATTAGAGCAGAGTAATGAAGAGTTACGTTCACAATTCAAATATTTAGAAGAAAAGGTTAAAGAGCGAGAAGTAGAAACCAAAGCTAAGCAAGAAATCATTAATAACTATGAAGAAAAGTTTAGAGAACGAAAAGAAGAAAAGCAAGATATTATTAATGTATTAGAAAAGAGAATCAGAAATCTTGAATCAGTTATTTATGATGATACTATTGATAGTTTAACCATTACAGATACTAACAAGGACATATTAAACACCACAGGAGGATTGCTAAAATATCGAAACTTAACAAACCTCTACTGTTATACTCAAATAACCAGTTTACCAATTTTACCCAATTCCATAAAATTACTCGATTGCAGTAATACTCCAATAACCAGCTTACCAACTTTACCCCTCTCCTTAACGGAACTTAGTTGTTATAATACTCAAATAACCAGCCTACCAACTTTACCCAACTCTTTAACAACACTCTATTGCTATAAAACTCAAATAACCAGCCTACCAACTTTATCAAACTCCTTAACGGAACTCTATTGCTCTAATACTCAAATAGCAAGCTTACCAACTTTACCAAACTCCTTAACGGAACTCTATTGCAGAAATACTAAAATAACCAGATTACCAACTTTACCCAACTCATTAACGGAACTCCGTTGCTCTAGTACTAAAATTACTTGTTTACCATCCTTACCCAACTCCTTAACGATACTCGATTGCTCTAAATCTCCAATAACCATCTTACCAACTTTACCCAACTCATTAACGGAACTCCGTTGCTCTAGTACTAAAATAACCAGCTTACCAACATTACCCAACTCTTTGACGATACTCGATTGCTCAAAAACTCCAATAATCAGCATACCATCTTTACCCAACTTCTTGACGGAACTCTATTGCTCTAATACTCAAATAACACGCCAACTCGACTCCTTAAACATCCTCGAATTTGATAATACTCTAACTCTAACAACCCGCTCAAACTACTCAGGAGCTCAATTTTTAAGAATGCCAAGTTTACCAAACTCCTTAACGACACTCGATTGCTCTAAAACTCCAATAACAAGAATACCATTTTTACCCAACTTCTTGACAAAACTCTATTGCTATGAAACTCAAATAACCAGAATACCAACTTTACCTAACTCCTTAACGATTATAATGATACTCTTATTATTAGCTTACCAAATTTACCCGATTCCTTAACAATTTTCTATTATCTATATGATATGTCAAATCTAAATATTTCTTTCGGCAATTATTTTTCATAAATTCTGCTGGAAAGATCTTTGCGCCATTCAAATAAATGAACTTCTTTTAATTGTTATCTGCTTTACTGAAGCATATTATGTGATAAAATTAAGACAACTTATCCATTGACAATATATTAAAGCAAGAATATTAGAGTAAGAATTTTGTAGTATTTCTATGTACGAAATATCCAGACAACATTGATTCCCTAATTTCGTAAATTATAAGAACGCTGAAGTGTTTGCCAAACTTGATTGTAAATCATAAATTTTTCTATAACAATTTTCTTTAATTTTGGAGGAATATGTTGATTGATAAAATTAACCCAATATCGGATCCAATACCAGATAAATATAAAATTATCATTAATATTTTAATTATTCTAAATGAAATGAAATTTAAATAAGTAGAGATAAAAAATTAACTGAGTTGCACATATAGTGCATATGCAAATTACCATGGGATATTAAACCGATGAACTCAATAATGTCGAAAAAAAAGTAAATTTTACGTTGTGAAGTGATAATGTAAATTTAGGAAATACACGCACAACAGAGTATCAAAAAAAAAATTAAAGTATTAAAAATTAAATATTAATCAATGTTGCATTTATTTATCTTATTAAAAAAAAAGCAAGCATTTAACTCAGTGACGTAAATTACAGCTCAAAGCTGTTCAGTATTATTTATAGCTTCTTAATAAAGGATATGCTAATCAAGTTGTTTCAGATCTTAATAATCAAGGAAAATGGTTTACTCGCAGTTAGGACAAAGCATTTTTTAATTAAGGTGAAGTTCTCAAAATTAATAATAGACAACATCTCAAGTTAGCTGCATTATTGACGATGAAGATATTCAATCTAAATCAGTTTCATATTTACATCAACACAAACTTGAGATTATATTGCTAATGAGATTTTATCATAACATTCTATTAATATCTAAGTTATAAATATTTATTGTAAAATAATCGATGGTTAAAGAAAATGGGTTTGTATTCCAAAGAAAAATACATTGATGGTCACGAAAGAGATTATGTTATTGCTTATCAAAAAGAGTTTCTTGAAACTATAGACAGGTAATGCATTTTGATTTTCTTGCTTTTTTCCAACATTCTTGCTAATCGAACTGCTATATTTACAACCTTTTAGCTATCAAAATATTACGGGTTGTTCTTTAAATGCTTATTTGTAGGTGGAGTAGAAATGGGTCGATCACTGATCTTTTGGTTTTTAAACGAATAGCTTTTTTTGAAACTTAAAAAAAATCCGAAAAATCCTGATCTGCCCAATGATTTTTAGGCTTCTGGAATACCATCACTAGAATTTCAGAAACAGAAGCGAGTTTCTTACAAACATAAATGTATGGGAAAGCCTGAAGCTTTATTAGTCAATACCATTGTTATTTGATGGGAGGCATAAATGGATAATTTCGTTTAAGAAGGTAACTGCGTTGAATCTTTTTGATTGTAGATGAATTGCAAGTAATATATTCGCAGGTGGGTTAATCAAGCCATCACCGGAGAATTTTGATTGTATAACGTATTGTCACATTTTCACCGTATTGACAGACGATGCATATGAAAACCTTCGTTTTTTTGGGAAAGTGCAGACACAATATATTATGACAATGCTCTGCTTTAAACAGTATGGACATGTTATATGCATCAAAGTTTCTCTTCACAGCTAAAGATGTAAAACGAAGAATGGAATGGTGTTTTAATGATTTATCATGTTTTTCGTCGATTTTGCCTTATCCTTTATATCACGAATTGCGGCATCATTAGTTGCTTTAGATTTATTTTATAAAGGTTCCGGCTGAAATTTTATGTATGTGATTTTATTTAATAACTTTTGAAGAATCTTCATGACATTTTGTATCGTTTCAAAGATTATTTTTTACACATTTTTTCCTGTCTATTTTGACGGGTGCCTTATCAGTTGTCTCATTTTTGTATGATAAGTTGAAAGTTCATCAGTTGCTCTCAAAGATATTTTCCGAATAAACTTATTACTAACCTCTTTTCTGTTCTTACCCGAGAAAACATCCAATTCCCTTTTCTCTAAATTTTTGATATTAATGGAACTAGGTACATGTATACCAAATTCTTATCAGAAGTAATAACTTGAGATTTCTGTCTGATCTCCTTGCTACTCAGCTTTAATCTTGGAATTCTCAGCAGAATTATCTTCCATATATATCTTCAACTCTCGTTTCGGCTACGAAGTTTATGTCTGAGCTTCGTGCTTACATCATCAAACTTAGTTTTCTCGACCTAAAGTCCGAATAATCTCAGATTGCATATCGATACAACATGAGAATAATCAAAGTTCGCCTTACATGAAAAGTAAGAAGGCGGATATAAACTATGATCAATTGCCACGATCAACCTACTGTTAAATACTGATTTATTGAAATAAATTACATGATTCGGTCATGCACAAATTTGTTTACTAGTAAATAATGTTACAGACCATACTATATATTAGCATAATATTTCCGGCACTAACTCTGATTATCCTAACATTGATATTCTAGATAGAATAGAATTAAAGCAGTCGTTGCAATTAGAGATAATAAATCATAAGTCCGACCGAATATTATGTAATATTAATTCATCTTTTTTAATAAATAACCTGAAAATCTAATGAGTAATGAATGACAACTGATAAATTACCTTTTTTTTTTTACTATGTTTATTAATTTTTTTTGAAGTATATAAATTATTTCTATAATTTGTCATATAAAGCCTCTAATCAAGAGTCTATTGAGACTTTATACTCGTTTTATACAGAAATGTATAAATATACCCTATACCAGTGTTGGGAAATTGGACAATTTTGAATAGTTTTGAACACAATTTCATATGTCCAAAACCTTGCCCAAAATTAAAAAATGTGTCCAAAACCCATCACTGCCCTATACCTTCGAGATTTCATAGAAAAACTTCAAAATATTTCTACTAGAAAAGACAAAACAAAAACCTTACAAAATTATATCGCTTACGAAAGAAACATCGCAAAAAAGATACGCACAACAAAATAGATTATTTTATAATATGAATGGTAACGGAAGTAACGTATTATTAAGAATAAAATTTATTAATATACTAATTTTTACTACATATAATTAATTCAATAAAGGCATTGAAAATCTGGAAATTCTTAAAGGAGCAAAAGGAAATATTAGTTTGATAGTTACAACTCTTGGTTTAGTTGGAGGGGGCAGGATTGGAATTGATTCACATTATTAGAAGTGAAAACTCTTGAAACAAAGATTGACATGATTGAAAATGCGAGCAAAGAAGCGCTTACACCTCTTGAAATAAAGGTTGACATGATGGACGAAGTGAGAAATTACAAAGTTACTAATATATTAAACTTCTCATTAATCTAGAGATTGGAAAGATTAGAAAATCAATTCTATAAATTTTCCGAAGATATGGGACATATAAAAGCACTCTTAACGAAAGTCTACAGAAATAATGTGTTGGATATCGCAAACTCATAGATTTATGATCTCGATTTCAACCTTTGGATGGTTTAATATTCTTCTCTTAATTTGCTATTACTTACCATTCAGCAAAACTGTTAGATAAAAATAAATATTTTTAAATTCTTAATAATAATGAATGATTAAGCAAAATAGATAAAGCTTCGCTTACCAGAGATCAAATTGTTAAATGCTTCTCTAGTTTTAGTGTCTCTTCTCAGCATTTTAATTTTTTATGAATTAGATTATAAAGTATTTTTTTTATTAAAAATTTATATTTAGTTGATGAGATAGAAATCATTATTTTCAAATTCTTAATTATAATGAATGATTAAATAAAATAAGTTATTACATCATTATCTTTAAGTAAAAATTTCAAATTTTTAATTGGTTGGAAATTTAATTATATAATTATGTAAATTTCGCAATAATTGAAGCTAAATATAGTATTGCAAATTTTTTATGAAGCCAAATAAACGGAAAAATTATTTTGCAAATTTATTATACTTTTATGTTTTTATAAGAACTTTATTAATTTTTGCGACAAAATAATCTTCAATTATTTTTTTCATTTCGATTTGGGTCAGACTACAAATTTATCTCTCCACATGACTTTAAATAACTAAATAAAATATTGATTGGTACTATCAAATTAAATTGATTATTTTTGCTTAATTATTGTCGACCTAATGTGTGACAAGTCAATTATAGATCTTTCCATTTGGATAATTCCATTTTATATAACAGTAAAATTTTTTACTAATTAATCTAACATTTAATACGTTGTGTTTTTACATTAACATTTATATTCAGATTACTTAAAAAATTTTGCTATGGGAATTTTAAGTTTTTTTGGTACGAATTTTACATTGATAGGTATTAAATCAATGTAATTTATTTTAACCAATTTTTTATTATACTAATAAATATAAACGAAACTTCTGATGATACGATAATTATATTTAGATATGAATACATTTGTTGTAATCAAGATAAAGGGTAAACTTTTTGTAACCCATCGAACTCTTAAGGTCATTGGTTGGTAAATTAATTTTCATTTATAAGCCTTCTCCAGCTACAAAAGAAGAGATGTTGAGCTGAACAAAAATTTGCTATGGTTCGCCTCTAAAGTTTTGATTATTGTTATTGGTAAAATTTAATATTTATCTTTATTAGAATTAGACAGATTCTAATTATTATGGAGTAGCCCCTCGTGCTCAACAGAGATCTCGTAGATTTTAAAAATTAACTTATGATATCTATCTATTCTACGGTGGAATATATAAACTTGCTAAACTTTCGAAACTTTATTAAATTTCTTTGAACGTTGAGGTTTTAACTGATAAGGATATTTATATTTGATGTATTCATCTATGACAAAACAATATATTTATCAATTATTTTTTTGTATATAATTATAATTAATTATCGTCGATCATGTGACGACGATCGATTTTTTTACGTTACATAATAAAAACTTTTAATTTTTAAATAAGCTACTTCGAATTTTTTTTATATTTAAAAATTTTGTGTGCATGACAACATATAAAAAAAAAATCTGATCACATATTTAAGATTTTAAAAATAAACGCACAAATTCTGATTTTATTTTGCATATATTTAATACGAAACTTTTGACAAACGCGTATAGACAAAAAATTTGTTTTCAGCTCCAGATTAGTGTTTAAGTCCACCAATAACGCGAAAAGGTTCCATAATGTACACTTTCAACAAATTTTCCTGATTCAAATTATTCTTGATGCGAAATATGAACATATTAATAAAATCTTTAATTTTTTATTAGGCTAATAAATTAATGCTTTAAGAAAGAAAAAAAATCTGTAGACGAATAAATCAAATAGGACTTAAAAGAATAAAACTTTAATGAACTAATTTGCCTTTATGTATTTCCCTAGCTTGAGGATATTTGTCTATTTGTAAGTTCTTTGAAATCGACCATTGCTGAAAGGCCTGTACCACAAACCAAATAATCTAATTTATATAACATTTCATCACGACCTTCTTGTTATTTAGATTTCACCCCACAGTATAACTTCATCAAGATGTACAATATTCATAATACTATTGATGATTTAGTTTAGGGTAATTGAACTATTTCTTTAATTTTCTGCTAGTCCTAAAATGTAGATTACTGAACTCTATAGTGCACATCGAAAATATTTTATTACATTGTTGATCAAAACAAAATCTCCACACTTAGTCTAATTACTGGCATCTCAGACGATGCATTGGAAGTCGTAATCATGAAACCATCGAATATTTTTCCTTGATTTTGAAATCCTCGGTCGTAAACGGTCACAATGTGAAGCGTTTTTTAATCCGCGAAAAGTTATTATAATGATCGATCTCCAAGCCTGAAGCAGCAAATATATTTATTCAATAAATAGTGACGCAAATGTATACATTCCAAGCGGCAGGAGATTCTTCAAATATTATCATTCGTTGCTAACATACGAAGAGCTCGTAACTCCAACACACGGTCTTTTGGTGAAATAACTAAGTATTTCAACCTTTTCCTCTTAGTTCAATGAATTTTCGGTTTTAATATTGAAAAGTGTAACGAGTTCGTCCTAAAATTTTGAGTAAAGAAGAAAATTTAGATAGAAAATGAAAAAAATATAATTTACATATGATGTGATGTACGCGAGTCTGTTATTGTTGTACGTAATACTTTCCTCATGATCTCATGATTTTACGTATTATTCCAATTAAAAAAATGTAATATATTACGTTACGGAGTTGAAGAATGCGATCTAAAAATTAGACCCAAACCTCCACCTTCCTTAATTCATAATTACGACTATCATTATTTCTTTTTTCATCATTTTCAACGCATTTTTTCGATTGATCTGACAAAGTAGTCCTTTGTCGTTCTTTTAACGACGATATGAACTTGCCAGTGTTGCATAGCTAAATCTGATTTCTTAAAATATTATTATACAATGTAGCATAATGCGGTATTTACTGAAAATGTATCTTAAAACATCTCCATAGTTAAAATAATCCGGAGATTCATTGATTACATGGATAAAGTTCAATGTTTTGATATCATTTTGCAATATGTTGATAAATTTCAACCGCCTAGGACAAAGGTTGATACAGATTGTAATTTTCACCATTCCTCTTGGTAGAGACGCAGGATGGCTAGGGCTTTCAAGGGGGATGGATGATGCATCCGCATCAACCTTTTTGTCCGAAGCGGCGGCTTGGAAATAAAAAAAAAATATTTCTCCAGAAATATTTTACTACTAAATGCAATTAGGAATAGAATTTACTCTATCTATGGTGACCGAATGATAACAAGTTGTATTATTTAAGATGAAATACTGGATACATTTAAATAGAATTTATAATGTAATAATTTTTACTAATAATAATCCTGTGAATTTTTCTAATGATTTTATCATTTTTTTCTAAGATTTCACTATAGTTTTGGATCTGGAAGATGAATTTTACATTTTATTTTCTCTTGATATATTTTTTTTCAAGCAAGTTATTAGTACAATTTTCTTTTTTACATATACATAATATTTTACATAATTTTAGTTAAGTTGATATTTAATAACTTTCTTATTTTCAATATATATTGCAAAAGACATTAACAGCTATTAAGCGAAAACTCAATGGACCATTTTTCTCATTATTGATGTCTAATCTAAACTTTATTAGCAAAACCGTCATAAAACCATTTTAAAATACATGAAGTCATGAACTTCCTTGTAGACATACATTCCAAACCCAAGAATATCGTGCAATTGTGAAAATAACATGGGTGTTTCCATAATTATTATTTAGGTATAGAAGCTTTTACAAAAATTATTTGTAATAAACATCCTTCGCAAAGATGATTTACTTCAGTTTTAAAAATTGTACTTCTCACATGCACTGTACTGTAGATATTTCCAAATTATTACTTCAGAATTTAGTTAACTTTATTTGGTAAGAAATGGAGGGGAGTTCAAGACTAGTTATTTATGGAAAATTACAGCAGGAAAAAAATTTAACCGAGGGCTGAGTAAAGAGAAGTTTGCTATTGGTAATTTTTATGCAAGAAAAAAAAT